CACATACACACACACACACACACACACACACACACGGTCAGTTTTTGCGCCACAAAAAACACGTGCTTCAAAACCGAATTTATAGCGCGAGGGCACGATGGAAAGATGTATGCGGCTCATGAGGACATATCGCACAGGGACCCGTGAAATGAGACTGGCTGTCCAGTAAGGGCACCCCAGAAAGTTGTGCCCCTTGCTGACAGGGGCATGCAGTAAAGTTCAGAGTGGCGCAAGGCAAAATAATGGAAATTACAGGGACACATTTCCCTTTTTTTCTTTTTTTCTTTTTTCGGTCCTGACATTTTTTGTCTGCTATACTGGTCCAGACGGTCCGGGTCCGGTCCTGTCCGGTTGTCTGGTGCCTGTCCGCATTGCCGGACGTCTGGACCAGTCCAAACAAATGTCTGGGCCTCGGTCCAGACATGTGGGTCTGGGTCCGCGGTTGCCATGATTCAAACTCGTAAATTATAATTAAAAAAAAAAAAAAACCCTTCTAGGCTGGGCCGATGCCTACGGACTTCAGGCCAGGACTGCGCTCGGCCTGAGTAGTCAGAATCCGGCCTTACCTTCCATTTCAGTGGTGGACCTAGGGGTGTTTGGGGGGTATAAAGTTACTCTAAACAGTGACTAGAGGGGTTTAAAAGGGTATATCTTACTTCATTTCTCCTCATTTATTTTTATCTTAATAAGGAATTTCGAGGGGACCCTCAGCCAAAAGTTGCTTGAACTGCAATTTTACACGACATATTGTTTTTCCAGATTTTTTTGATTTTTTTTTTATTTAAATATTATGCGCTGGGACTACCTGGGACCCTGCCCGGACCCTGCCCGGCCCGGGCCGGCCGGGAGGGTGCCCTGGCGACCTTCTCCCAGCCGGGCCACCTGGGGACCAGCCTACATAATCTTCTCATTAACAGTTAGATGTGTCTACGGTCAGCTGTGCGAGATGCTACGACCTCTACTTTTGTGTTTCAAGGCTTCAAGCAGAGATGAGAGAGAGAGAGAGAGAGAGAGAGAGAGAGAGAGAGAGAGAGAGAGAGAGAGAGAGAGAGAGAGAGAGAGAGAGAGAGAGAGAGAGA